GGGGGGGGGGGGGGGGGGGGGGGGTTAGATAGAGTTCTACTCCATCTTTCAGTGTGATGTGGTTAATTTTTTTCACGTTCTCCACACTTTTGCATTCAAGTTTGTCTGCGGGACTGAGAGGTGTTTATCAAACTATGTTTCTATTCGTTTCTGGTAACGGGGTGGGGTGGTTATGGTTTTGTTTTGTGTGTTTTTGTGTTCATTATTATGACCATTCTCTGTGCTGTTCTAACAACCAAAAACCCCTTCATACTTGGATTTCAGTATTAAGATTATTTCAATATTTTGGTCAAATCTGATAATGAGTGATCTTAAATTTATTAGCCTTAAAGTAAAAGGTATTAACCATGTTGTAAAAAGGCAAAAATGTATTTTTTTCAGAATTCAGAAATGTCAGATTGCATTGTTACAAGAAACCTACCTCTCTGATACACAGCACATGAAGTTGCGTAGAAACTGGGTTGGCCAGGTTTTTTTTTTCTTCTTATAAGTCCAATAGTAGGGGAGTTGCCATTCTTCTTCATAAAAATCTTTCCTTTAAATTTGAAAATTCAGTTACAGACAATGAAGGTCGCTATGTATACCTTTCAGTTTTTCTATATGGGGAGCATGTGTTGATTGGTTGCATCTACGTTCCCACGGTATATATAACTATTTTTTTCTAAGTTACTGGCTGACATTTCTTCATTTTCATGCTCTCTCATACTTATGGGTGGGGATTTTAACGGCATTCTAGACCCATCCATGGTCTAGATCAGTCTCCTCTAAGAGGTATCAGACTAAAGAAAAGTTTTAGGCTTTTAGAATTTTGCAAGGATCTGGAATTGTTTGATGTTTGGAGGTTAGCTCATATGAGGTAGAAATATCATACTTTTTACTCTCAGCCCCATCAAACATTTTCACTTATTGATCTATTTCTAGTATCGCAGGAGTTATTGGACAAAACAGTGGTATTAGGACTTCGTCTGACCACTCTCCCATTATAATGACTGTTTGTCCTCCGTATAGAGATCCATACAATAGACAGTGGCGACTGAACCCTTCATTACTGAGCTGTCCTAAATTTATGCAATTCCTCAAACAACAGTGGAAAATCTTTATTGAAATTAATAAAGCCCCTGAAGTCACTCCGTCAGTCTTATGGGAGTCGGCAAAAGCCTATCTAAGAGGTGTAATTATATCTTACACCTCAGCCAAAAAGAAAAATATAGTGGAACTTGAAAAGAAAATTCAGATTTTGGAGAGCGATTTCAAATTGTCACCTTCCAGAGGTGTGTCCCATCAGCTTAATGCAGCCCGTTTGGCTTTAGATCAGCTATTAACCAAGAAGATTGAATCATCGCTTTTCTTTGCCAGACACAGACTTTGAGTCAGGGAATAAGCCTGGTTGTCTTTTTGCGTGGCTGGCTAGGGGGAGGACAGAGACTAATGTAATCTCATCCTTAAGGGATACCTCTGGGGCTCTTAGGTTTGAAAACAAATACATTAATAAAATTATGAAAGAATATTATCAAAATCTTTACTCATCAGAATGTCACTCGATAGAGCAAAGGATGAACTTTTTTCTTAATAGCGTTAGACTCCCCTCTCTCACAGCGAAAGAACAAGCGGACCTTTGTAGGCCAATCACAGAAGAGGAAGTTCTTTACTCTTTAAACTCTTTAAGGGGAGGGAAGGCCCCCAGGCCAGATGTTTTTTGCCCAGAATTCTATTTAAAAATGGGAAAAGAAATAGTAGGATCACTTACTGAAATGTTTGCAGATTCATTTAAAAATTGTCAGCTTCCGCCCACTTTAAACTTGGCAAATATTTCCTTAATTCTTAAAAAGAATAAATCGCCAGATTTTTGGAGCTCATATAGACCCATTAGCTTAATTGGGGTTGATGCCAAGATACTCTCTAAGCTGCTGGCCAGAAGACTCGAGGTGGTTCTTCCCAACCTTATAAACCCAGATCAGATGGGCTTTATTCAGACGCGTTTTTCTATCACAAATATAAGGAGACTCTTTAATATTATACAGTATACCAACCAACAGCACTGTGAGGCGATCTCTGTATCTTTAGATGCAGAGAAAGCTTTTGACAGGGTAGAGTGGGACTACCTGTTTGAGGCTTTGCAGAGATTTGGTATAGAGGGTGAATTTCTAAAATGGATTCAAACTATCTACCATTCCCCTATGTCCTGTATTATTACTAATGGTCTACGGTCAGATCCTTTCCCACTTGCTAGGGGCACCAGACAGGGCTGTCCGCTGAGCCCTCTCTTGTTTGCGCTGGCTCTAGAACCTCTAGCAGAGGCTA